AGACTGAATTTATATATTTGGCAAATTCAATCAATTTATTATATTATCCATATCATCACTCACCCTCATTTTTTGGATTGGCTGTTTATACATGCACCCAAATATACCAAATTATTATTCAATTAGCAACTGATAATTTTTTTAAAAACTCATCTTCACCAAACTCCATTTCTGAATCTTGCTGAAACTCTGCAGAAACACACATACACATTTCATTTTTTAGTTTCTGAAAAGATATATAGGCTATTTTTTGTTTTTCTTTTTTGGTAGAAATACTTTAATGTAAAAATAAAAGATATGTTTTGTCTTTACAGAAAATCTAAAAGCATAATGTGGTTTCTTTCTTTGTGTTTTAATTAGATAAACAAACTGGTAAGGTAAGTAGGATTGTTTTTTAATCCACAACACATAAAATCTCAATTAGTTATGGTCTACATGTGCACTGACTGAAAACGTTTGTTAACAAAACAGAATTTTCTAGTTTACTGCATAAATATACCAGAAGAAATTGTGGAATAATGCTAGGTTGCCAGGCAACCACATCTCTACTCTCTCCTGTTTGTGATCAATTCCACTCATTCATCGAGCCTCCTAAACCAGTGCTAGATAATTCCAACCAATTTGTTTTTTGGAGAAAATTATAGTGACTTTCAGTAACACAATAACACTTTTATTTTCAGAAGATAAACTTAGATGTTCTTTTGATGAAAGGGATACATTAATTCATTGTTCTCTACCCGGTGTTAATGAGAAAGCTATAATTAACTAACTACCCTATTGCGACACACATAAAATAAACTGCAGTAATTAGTAAAGTTTAAGGTGTTAACCAGTCTCCCAAATTAGAAAATACAGTCTAATTTCTCCAATAAAGATCTGAAGAAAGGAGAAAATAGCATATCTAATTAAATTGCGAATTGTTTCCAACCCCTTCAAAGGGGAGAGAAGCTTAAAGTATGTGATCACCAATAAGTGAGAGATTTATCTTTACTATCACTCAAAATGGCTCAATGCCAATCTACTTGTAGGTAGACATAAAATACTAGCAAATAATATAATCTTTTCCTTGAAAGAATGCTTAGTACAATATTTTTTCCAGGAATGAATAGAAAGAACATTATGCTTTCACTCATTAGCTGTGTTAACTTAGCATATTGTATGTAAATCACCATAATAATTGCATTCTCTTCAGACTGAATTACTTAGTTGGAATGAAGCTGTAATCAAAATGTTCATAATTGAAAATATAGTAGCCTCAGACATGGTTTGAAAAATAACAAGAAACTGATTGAATCAGAATATAGTACATCATTGACAAACAACCTTATTGCAAGGACAAGTTGGTCATCCTGATTATATCTTTGCATGTCAATTAGCTGCCCAAATTCTGGACACAACGCATCAAGATTTGTCCTGCTTTTCTATGTAATCCTTTGTCTTTGGCCTAACATGCTTCTCATGTGCATCACTGCTGCGTGTTTAAGAGAAAAATGGGAAAAGGTTGAAAAGTTCTTTTTTTTATTCCCCCTAAAATATATTGGACTCTATTACTCTCTGGGCTGTCATAAATCAAAGGGCAAAATAATTATCAATAGATGAAACATTTAATGCCAAATCTCCTGGGAAACAATATGTAAATGATCACATGGATTTCAGGCAAGCTGTCATACTATTCTTCCAGGTACCTTTTGTAAATGACAGTCACTATGAACATGGGGTGTTATGCAAAAGCTAAGCTTCAAGCAATCCTCCTTTACCACAGGAAGCCACAGAGCTTCCTGACTCATCCCTTCACATCTGACTCCATTAAAAAAGCCAAACCCAATGCTATAGCGTGGATGCAGGGCATCCTGTGAGTGGCAACTCTATAGGGCGGAATAGAACTGCCCATAGGGTTTTTAAGGTGGTAAATCTTAGTGGAAGTACACTACCACATCTTTCCCATGCAGAGCAGCTAGTGGTTTTGAACCATTAACCTTTTGGTTAGCAGTCAGGTACTTTAGCCACTGTGCCACTGAGCTTCCTTCTGATTCCATTAGCTCCCCTCTATTACTTTGCCATTGAAAATAAATCAGATCAAAGCTACTGGAATCCTACATTAGTCTTGATCATTAGCCTTATTTAATTCTCCATGAAAGTAAATCAAGCTAAATTATTCCAACAAAGCAATTTCGGGTCAAACAACCTCTCTATCTTCAAAGATTGCGAGAGTAAATGGTAAAATCATGCTTCTATGTAGCAAATATAGTCTGTATAAGATCTAATTTGTCAGACACTAAGGAGTTTTATGATAATGATATCTGCATGCCATTATTTGCCTCAAATTCACCATGACAAATAAACCAAAAATCAAACTCACTCCCAGCAAATCATTTCCAACTTATAGCAAACCTACAGTTCAGGGCAGAACGGCACCATGGGTTTCCAATATTGTATATAGGAATAGAAAATCTCACTTTTCTCCCTCAGGGTGACTGATGGTTTCCAACTTCCAACCTTCAGATTTGTAGCCGCTGTCATAGGATATTATGACACCAAGACTACACTCTAATAAGGAAGTGGATTATTATTTATTTCTTTAAAGGCAATTCATTCAATGAGGTCAATTAAATGAAAGGAAATAAATATATATTGTGCAATATCAAATCTTACCGGATTTGCAGTCAGGCTCAAAGAGCATACAATTTGCTCATTGCTAGGTAAATTGATGCTTCTAGATAGACTGGGGATTTCACTAAACATCTACAACAGCCATTTCTTTAAAGAAAGGGGCCCATATGTATACTGTAGATGTAATAGAGAACAATCTAAAATATAGATATTAATACCAAAACCCTATTCTTTTAATGGACAACTATAGCCTGTGTACACACTTGCCTGTATTAACTATTCATCTCCACTTTTTTTTTGCTGCCAATATTAAAGACATCAAATGGAAAACCAGAGTATACAGTAGATCCTGGAACCAAGTGAAATTTTAAAAGCCATAAAAGCAGTCCAGAGACTCAAATTATGATAAATTCGACTGCAGCATTAGCAGGTGAAAAGAAAAGCCTACACAAAAGCCAGGGGAAACAATTTTCCCTCTATTTCTCAATAAAAGTTTCTCTGGGTAAGCTTGTAAGCTTCCATCTCCATAAACCAAGGTAACCAGCAGTGTCTCAGCTTGTCTGTCACAACAAGAAATAAAACAGAGTTCAATAGAACATGGATTAACCAGTTTTATTTTAGGATTAATTGCTATTAAGGTGTTGACCATCCTCCAAAATTAGAAAATATTTTAAAAGTGCTTTCAATAAAGACCCAGTGAAATAAGACTGCGCCATATCTAATTATATTAAGAATTCATGTTCATAGTAATGCCATCAGCAACCATAATTAACCTGAGGGCTTATTATGCTTCAGGTTGGGGCAAAACTGTTTACTTAGATGTTCTCATTCCAATCCTGTAATAACCCAAGAAAGGTATTGATATTGTTCCTGTTAATTAGGAGGGGAAATTGAGGCACCGAGCAAGGCTCCCCAGCTCACACATCACAGAGGTGGCTGGGCAGGAATCAAATACAGTTGGCGCCACTGAGTCTCAGCCTCCCAAGGATCTAGGTGGTTCACCAGTTGCCCCATCGCTGCGTGCACGCTCATGTACCTTCACCTGCCTCCTCCCATTCCAGCGAGAGCGTGCCACGGTGCACGTGCTCTCCCATGGCCACTTTCAGGTTCCAAAAGATCCTAGGCGGCTCCCAGGAGCAGGGTTCCATCCCCGCGCCCCTCACGCAGGGCTGTCCCAGGAGCCTCCTCCTCGCCTTGCAGTGGCATTGGGCTACCTGCTGTGCCATTACACACCTGTCCACTCCCTCACCTCCCCCTGTGGTCCTCCGCTTGGACAGTTCGTCACCCCGCTACCCCATCCCAACCCCGCCCAGCGCTCCCCTGACGCGCAGCCCCGAGGGGTACCTGGGCCCTGGCGGGAAGCTTCTGTGACCCACGTTTTGCAGGAATCGCCTAGGCTAGCTGGTGGCTGGGAAAGTGCGGCTTGCAGCCAGCGAAAGGAGTGGGGATGGAGGGGCAGGCGTTCCCCAGCCTCCAGGCTCCAATCCCTGCTCTCCAAATTAATCACTTTCTCTCAGCGCCCTCCCTCCCCACGCACACTCTCACTCGGAAGAAGAAAAAAAAAAAAAAAAGGAAAAGCAAGCGAAGCACAAAGAGGAAGAAGGGACCATCCGTGACTGGCATCTCTAGCTCTCCCAGCTCAGCTACCCGGGAGCCATGGCAACCAGTCCCCGGCCTGCCCCCTCGCCCCACAGCAGTCTTGGGAGGTGGGGCTGCAGCCTGGACACCCCCTGCCGCCCTCCTTCACACACCTCTGTGGTCCTTTGACCCCCCAGTCCAGTTTGGGGGCTAGTCAGAACCCTGCCGACCGCCGGCATAGAATCCTCTGCTGATAGTGGGAACAAGACTTCCCTGGGGGAAATGGAAGGCAAGAACTACGGCTGACTCTCCAAGAGGTGGACAGAGCCCCAAACCTGGGATCAATCTAAACCCTGGCAGTTTCATTGGCATGGGCTGCAATCTCCGGAGGAGGGTCTGGAATCCTCTTGGGGAGAAGGGAAAAATGGGAAAGGCGAGTGAGTGAGGGGGGAGAGGGAGAGTCATCCTTCAGAGACGAAGGGGGCAACTTGGGGCTGTAGGCTCAGAGGAGACCCAGTGGCCTCCTCCACATGACCCCAGTGGTGTTCATTCTCAGCCACCCGCAGGCGAGGCTTCAAGAAGGAAGTCTCTTTCTGGCTGAGGTCTGGGGGACCTCGGACCGCCTGACTTTGGGCAAGAATGAAACCTTGATTGCACACCATTCTCTTTCCATAGAAAGGTGGATCACCCTTCCCTTAGAGGCAAACCCACCTTCTCTTCCCTCCATCTCCCCCACAGAGTTGGCTAATGGGAAGCGTAGAGGCACGCCCCAGGCTAGAAGGATGGAAACTAGTCCCTAACCCCCAACATACCTTTTTGGTCTCCATGCTGGAACCTTTTGACACCTTTCCCTGGGAAACTGCCCCCTCTGGCTAGGTGGGAGCAAGGAGGGGGGCGTGCTCTGTCCAGCTGTGCGTGGTGGACCCAGGAGTTTCTCAGTGGCCGCTCCCAGGAGCTGATCTGTAAGCGGATCTGCCCGCAGAGGTCCCGCCTGCTCCTCCTGCAGCTGGCACCAGCTGGGAAAAGGCTGGACCTGTTCTGGCTTGCACCAGACCCACACCCTCCTGGCAGGGGCTGGATCCTGTTCGCCTGCTCGCTTCCGCGCTCCTGCCCCACCACCCCTCACCCACACAGCTCCTTTCCCCTCCCTTTGAGCACTCCCGTGGGACAAGGAGAGTTACAGGTTTAAGACTTTTACTCCTTGATGTAAAGCAAGGGACACAGCCAGCACTTTGCTCATCGTTTTCATTATCTGTGGTCGGTAGAGAGAGGAGCTCTTTCCCGTTTGTCTGAGAACGAAGAACATTAAAAGAAACCCCTCCCCCCTGCCGATGGTTTCACTCAGCACATATTCCAGACACGGATGCACGGATCGCCAGCCTGAATTTCCCATTGCAGCATGCTGGAGAGGTGTGGTGCCAAATACCTATTAAACATTGCCTCAGCTCTGTGTCCCCTGTCTCCAAGATGTGATGGGCTTGCTCTTCAATTTTCAAAGGATCGTGCTACTATCAACAACATTAGCACCTACTTAAATTCTACTGTTACTATTTTTTAAAAATCTGTTCTAATGCTTATGGTCCATAATTATATCAGTCTCTAATGGTTTTGCTTTTTTGCTATTTATTTTCTACTAATTCACTATTATACAATTTTTTAAAAGCCTTGTGAGCTTATTTCTATAGAAAAATTAAAAATAATAATTATCAATGCCTTCTCAATTCTACCAACAAATATAAATATGTATTTTAGGTCCCAGAATTAATATGAGAGTTATAAACTTTGCCTTATAAATATTCATATCTCCTGTTTTATCTTTCCCGCCCACCCCACCCAAATCAGGAAACTCTGATCCTATTTTCTGAAATTTTCAAGCAATTCCAATGACAACTGTCCAGTAAGAGAATCATTGGCTTCTAATTTGCACTCCAATAAGTCTGTGAGAATGTCCATGGAGTCGCATTTGGTTCTCATCTAGCTTGTTGAACAATAAGGACCATTTAGCACTGTGAGCTACCCTTCCATTTGAATGCCACTACAAGGAACAGCAAACAGGAGGTCGACTCCTGGGTTGGTTTCTAAACAACTGAATAAAATATTTGGAGAAAGAATAAATGGACTTTTAACTTTTAATGCTTGCTAACCTGGGGGGCTGGATTTCCTCAGCTCATGTGTGGGCTTGGTTCCTCAGGACTGTGTTGGCAGATTGCAAATGCAAGTGAGGGCAGGACCTGTCCTCAGTTTAAATTGCTCTGCTGGAGTAATTTCTTCGCCAGAGGCATCAGTATTCATGCGGCATGCTTTCTAAAGTAGAAAGATGATAGAATGTTGAATAAAATTCCAACAGGGAAAATTCTGTGCCTGTAGTAAAACATTTTCCAAGGTCAAAGAACCACAAAAGAGACAAAAGGCCAAGTTGGTTTTAGATGTTTACTCCCTTCTGAGTAAGCGTCCACTCAGCAGGGATCTCACACCACCATTTTCGTCAAGCCAACAAGATGCTCTTAAATATATAATTCTTTTTTTTCTCTGAGATCTGTTTACTTGACATTAGAATCTTTTAAAATAAAAACACTCCATACATGTGATATATATGTAATGGACAGCTACTATTTACTAGTTGCTCTTTTAAATGGAAGGGTACAGTG